CGATAAAATTCAAACTGTTCTTCTATCCTAGGAATACACGACCACACGATACCTTACGTATTGTATACACGATGCTATATACTCGTTGCTTGCTACTTGGCGTTAGCTATTGTTTCGTTATCTTTAGCTGTTGTGTGTGTTTGCGCGTCTTTGACTATTCTGCCTTATTATTAATGTTATATTATGTTTATTAATGTTGGTATATTATTTAGCATAAATTTATTGTGGCATTTATGTGACATTTACTGTGGAGGCACGGAGCAGACGAGCGTTGCGTCGGTGGGCTGATGTTTGGACAATAAAAATCAGCATTAGCCAGAGCTGCCTGTAGCTATCGTTTTGTTAGCATAGTCAGGCCGTGTGTGGCATCAGGACAAATGCTTCTGTATACTTAAAGAGCTATGCTACTTCAGCTACTAGTGACATCATCAATATTTTCCTCATTTCTGGCCGAGACATCCGACGTGGAGTTCAAAAGAGTATGCTTGTATCGTCCTGCACTCAAAAGCCATACATTCATATAGAGCAAACGCCCACACATATTATGTACAGCACAGACATGTCCGCCGCATATATATTAGATTCGCTTGATCCGGAAAGGCACTGTTCCTCACCAGTGCTATCTTCAATCCTTCAGTTGTTGCTTCTCACAGTGCAGAGATAGCACTTTAACGATCGCGTTGCGTTCGGAGAATATCCGTCGGTTGTCCCTAATGGATTGAGCGAAACAATAAAAACGTCATCGAGAGAGCAAAGGCGTGTCGGGACAATTAAAAACAAAAACATCGGGTAGTCAACTGGGATATAGATTCTGTTCATAGTCAGAACATGTGCTAAACGAACATAATACACAGATGCGACCCGCTGTCAACACCGGCAACGGTGCGGAAACTCAGCGCACTGCACTTCCGCTAACAAAATAAATGGCAAAAGCTCAAAACAAGGTGCCGCTGGTTGTCCGATCATATCCTGCATAATTGTTTGACGTAAATTCATAGTCGCATTCTCGATTTTCGCTAACGGTAACAATTCCTACGGCCTGCCGCAGTTCCTCTCGTAGGGTTCTCTTCTTGCATGAGGAGACAAGGTTGGAATATAAAAAAAGCAAAAAAACTTTCCATAGTCTTCCTTCACTGGGCCGGAGCGAGCAAACGAGCCAGTTAGTTTGTTCGCTGGTTATTTCCCTGTGGGAGTTGCTATCACGCTGCTGTCTACCCAAGCCACTTTCTTGTCATCGTGAAGTACTCTGGTCCTTCCTTGACGAGGTGACTACTCCTTCCACCAGTACAGCTCTTTAGAGTGTTCACTCATTTGCTACCGACACCCCCCACCAGACGTCTTATGCTCATGTGATGCGGTTCTTTTCTGCTCAGGGAAAAAGGAAAAGCACAGGGATCAGGTAAGGAGGTCGACCCACTCGACGGACTCCGGCGGCTTGACAGGCCCAGAAGTTCTCGTCGACCTCAAGAGCACAAAAGACTACCACCAGAGTAAACGACAAAGAAGTGCCAGCAGGGCGCTCGCGACAGGGTCGCTGATGACGTGAAATCACAAGGCGATAGTATTTCTACAAACATTTTTTATCGCGTACAAAATGGTAGGGCATAGAGCAAATATGTTGGGTCACGGATCTGTCACAGTAAGCTTGTCTGCTCCTGGTTGTTTCTCATAGCCGAGCGCCGAATGAGACCGAGGATGTCGCTGAGCGATCGGTCGCTCCATGAAGACTCTTGTGTAGTGTATATTAAAGTAATGAAAAACTTCACATTTGAAAAATTCCGAGGACTATCAAGAAGAAAGTGAGACTATCAAGAAGAAGTTAATTTCTGTTTTAGAAGAATAGGCCATTGGTATGAAGCAGGGACTGAAGTTCGTATCTTGACCGTGGACAAAAGACAAGCTAACACATAGAACCATAACGGCCGTAACATACGACGCGGTAGAAATATAAGTGGCATACTGGGTGACTGAAGCCTAGCTAGACATTAAAATGTTACGAATGACCATAAACATGTCATACGACCGTAATATGTTTTTAGTAACGGTTATAACCTCTCAGAATGAGTACACCTCCGCCTTATTAGCCATGTCGTAGATAAGGTTTTTGCGTATAAAAAATACACTATATTTTGCATTAAAGAAGTACATACTATAAAAACACCAATGAATTTCTACGTGTGAATCACCTGTTAATGTTTAGTAGCTTGCTTGCACATATTTGTGAGTCCTGAACCTTGCATTGACGTTTCGTGATGTACGCCTGGAGCTATAGTTGACGGCACATATTTAGGCACAAAATAAAGGGTACGTATATTTCAATGCCGACCTTAGAGACCCCGCTCTAGTCCTAAAACGGACAAAAAATGTCCAGTACTTATGTGTCAGAACGGATACGAAAATGTATAGCCTAATTATTGCCGAGTACGCCACACCGCCGCAATACAATCTTGAAAATCAAAGCGAAAAACAGCAATAATACAAATAATGTTAGTCCTGAAATTATTTTTATTACAGATTTATATTTTTATATATATATATATATATATATATATATATATATATATATATATATATATGTATTATATTTGCATATTATCCGTCGGCGAGGATATTTGAAACGATGGGTCAGAGCCCGTCATAGTGTTTCAAGTATAAATACTATGTGTGTTAGTATCTAAAAGTATGCCACACGAGTTTTGTTTGTTGTATGACCTAGCGCTAATATAAGTTTATTTAAATTAAAATTCAATATCGAATTAATTTGTTTGAGGTTAAACACTTAAGATTTGAAGCCTTCAATGAGGTTTTCGTTCGCTACCGGCACTACGCGCTATCTTGGTAATAACTGTTAGAGCGCTAGAACATCCCTCGAACATAATTAATATGCACTCAACTTACATTTATTAAACACAAAGGTAATAAAACATACTACAGTACCTTCTAAGGTAATGCTTATAGAGATTTTAATTAGTTAGTTATATTTTAGGATTTAGCAGCCATTTAGTATTTTCCCTATAGACAGAAGAAAAGTTGAATTCCTTCAACTAGCAAAAAAAAAAAACGTATATCACTTGTCAATGACATATCTGCAACGAAACTTGTCGGTGTCCGAATTCACCATTTATCATTACTCAACTTAGCTGATTTCGTTATCGTTGTCGAACCCTTTCTGGCGTTATCCGTAACTTTGACAGTTATCTACACAGTGTTACATGCTCAAAATTCATCTCTATTCTACATTACACGTTCGGGCGTACAGCAACAGATTTCAGCGAATACTACGGGAAAACTGCGGGTTTTTACAGTTAGTGACAAGCCACTATGTCTATATCTGTTGCAGAACAGGGACTAGCGGTTGAGCCAGAACGTCGACAACCGGTCTAAACTGGATATATAGCTGTCGTATTCAAATCACCACAAGTCACGATTGTGACGACAAACTGTCTCGTTTTTCATCTTTCGTGCAGCAGCGTATCCTGCCTTCCCCCTTACTACCGCCACTATTATCTGGTTCTCTACCACTAAGACGTAAATGCGAATTCCCTCCTTCTTACTTCTCCCAACTCAACCATCGTATTCAACTTTCATATTCGACATTTCCCACCTGTATCCATTGTACAGTTTAGTAGAGCAGTACGGCAGAATATCGAAAAGTAGAGCAGACTGTTAATTGACAGCATGATTCTTCCTATATCCGTTTCCAAACAGTTCTGAGTAGATCGTGCTAAGCAGGCGGACGTGAAAGCAAAGAGACTATCCAACTCGAGCGTCATTTATCACTTGCTGTCGCTTGACGGCCGCGTGACCGGCCCAATGGCATCCAACGCGGACGTGTCTGCCACCAGTGCAGCGCTACCTGCGATCTTGTGCAGTAGAGCGTGACATGCAGAGCCACCATCGCCGTCGCCTCCATCCTTGTAGTCATCAACTCTACTATACCATTTCCTACCGAAACGGCACTACGACCGTTTGTATGCTACGTATGGTCGCGCGTTTAAGCAATTAGCTCAGCACGTCTAACTATCAACGTGACGCAGGTACTACTACCAATCTATACTGTAGAAGGGCGGCTCACAATACAAACGGTAATACGCAACTGAACGATCTCCAGAGGTAGTGCAGGCGTCGTGATGGCGCAAAGCTTACAAAACGTGTTTTCAGAGTTGAGTGAAGCTATAGCTGCGAACGCGCTTGATACTGATACAAAGACATGAATACATAAACTAGTTTCATATTATGTCATGATTACATCCTGTCGCACAGAAAGTCTTCCGCATGGGACTATATATATGTAGATGCCATATTAGTAGAAGCAGATGCTCCATTTCCAGCAAATGCATACAATTATAGAATACCTCTTTTGCACGTAGTGGAAATGCTGTACGCAACTTGTAGGTCGCTGTATGAAGCCAGTCGCACGAGACGAGGTGCAGTAGTTATACGAATCACGTAAGGTTATGTATAACGCAAATCGTGAACGTCCGATAGCTGCCGTCGTTCATCAATATCATAAAACTTAATAAATGCCTATAATAAAACTAAATGCCTTATCAGCTGATCGATGCAGTAAAATGATTTGAGCAAAAATAACGCAAACCATAATCGCATCAAAAGAATTCCCGCAAAACCTATGGAAAATCGGCAGCTAAATGAAAGGAACGATCAAGCGTGACTAGGAAAATATGACGGTATTTAATCATACCTTTAAAAGATTACACTAAAAACAAAGACCACGTATGTCGAATGCAGAAATCGATCATAAATTCAAATATCCTAAGTTTATTACTGAAAACAATTTTTGCAAGTGGTAATCATCGAATCAATAATTACGTATGGCCAGTTTAATGAACATTCGGTATTTGCATGCATAGCAGTGAACGTGGGAAATCCGCCGGTCGTGGCGGTTGGTAATGGCGCGGAGGAGTGTTGAGCTCTTTATTCGAATTTGTATCGTATGTAATCTAATAATCAGTCCATGTCTTATCCTCTTTTTTCCCTACCTTGAAACGCAGCCTCAAAGGTCTTGATCTTCACAGGCACCTGCTGAGCCTCGCTAGCATTCGCGGCCGAGCCCAGAGTCAAGACGACAAGGCACGCAACGAACACCAGACGAGCACGGAGGGCCCTGAGAGCCGCCATCTTGGCTCCGAAGGGCTCTACCTTCGACAGGAAAGCTTAGGGTAACAAGCAGTAGTTTTTAGCTGCTGGTGTTGTCGCACTTGGCCAAGCACAAGTCACCACACACCCGCACGCACACACGTATCTCTTATTAAGAAATACAGATATATATATATGTATATATATATTAATATATATATGTATATAATATATATATCCACAAAGCACAAAAACCACTTGGCGCACTCGTTAAACGATGAATGGTTGTAATAATTAAACGATTCGTGATGTAAATTCCGTCGCGGGAACAGAACACAGTTATTCCTTAGAGTTACTCTGTCGGCGCCATCTGGGTCCGCGCGTCGACGCGACGGCGCCCAGTTTTTTCTACAACGGCAATTTCGTTTTTTTCGCTTCCGTTTTTTGTCGCACCGTTTCTTCACCGTCGTCTTTCTTCCTCTCTCTCTCTCTCTCACTGACCTCTATAATGAAGGCACCATCACATTTATATTATACTCCTTAAGATTTAGCCTTCGCTCTGTCGATTGTCAACCCAAATTTGCTGGTAAATATAGCTAGGATATTTTCTTTAGCTTTAGAAGCTTATTCTCAGCAGCAAAGCTCAAAAAAGCCGATAGACTAGCGTTCCGCGTTGGCGAATTATCCGCACGCTAGTGACGTACTGGTCGACGCGGGCGGCGACGTCTGATGTCGCACATTGCACACGACAGAATGGCCGCGAACGTGGGTTGAGTATATACACTTATATTTATGGGATGTTACAAGAGAAGACGACGGATACCAAACTGCACTCGGGACTCTTGCTTGGGCTGCTGTTGGCCAGCAGCGCACCATCCGTACTGAGGTGTCTAACGGTTACAGGAATCTTTCTGGCAGAGCCCGAAGGGGAAGGGCAGAGAAGAACGGGCCGCAAAGGACAACACAAAACAGGAGGATGGATGCGCGCGCAGGACGACACCGAGCTAGGTGGCAAGCCAGCGAGCGAGGCAAGCTAGCCAAATAGGCAGGAATGAGTCCCCGAAGAACCGACGTGGGGGGGGAGGGGCTCAAAGCCAAGATGGCTGCCGCACGGCTGTCGTTGCCCACATAACAGGCACAGACAAACCTAGGGAAGACCATAGAAGCGTGCTATCCACCACCGCCGCCGCCTTTCTTGCTGGCAAACTCTGATCGGCACCTTCAACCATACATAGAGTGCCCCCCTGCGCCCATCCTTTACACTCTTGAGTAAACCTTTTATATAGAGAAGGGCATCGAGCGCGCCATAATTTAAAACCGGTGGTAATGAATAGTAAGGGAAAAATACTTAGAAGCTATGAACAATACATAAATATTGTTGAGCTTGCGTTCACTTTTAGCAACAGGAGTGTTGGCTGATCGTTGCTATCAATTAAAGTTTTTAATTATGAAGGTCAACACTGTAGGAAATGACAAGGGAATAAAGCCGAGGCAGAATAATCCTACTTTTGAAAAAAGTTGTAGGTAGAAGCGTACACTATATGTCCAAAATTATCTATGTTCAGAACCCGTATTAGCTAATTTTCAGTTGTACGCTATCATCTTTGGGTCGTACACTACAGAAAACAGACTTTTGAAGCAACCTTTAACTCTATTGGTCAGTACCAGGGGTTCAACATTGAACAGAACCACGTTCACCTAGCAAACGAGATTTACTAACGGCATCCGTCAATCATACACGAAAGTTAAATTTTGCCATTTGACATTCATGTGTGGTACAATCGGGTTTTTTAAATACAAGTTCATTTTCAAGTTTAACTGTCAAGTTATTAAGTCACAGCAGCAGTTTATATATCAGGCTGTCTCTGTACAGATGTATGCCTTCATACACTCATAAGTTTATTTGCACATAAATAATAAATGTGTGGTTAGAGAATCTAGTGCGAATGATGAAATTGTGTCATAGAAATCAAAGCCAATCAAAGACATCTTCATTTAATATCGTGCCAGTGAACGGTGCAAATGTCGTGCCTACATTAGCATAAACACCCAAAGCTTGTATGCAAACACAAAGAATTCACTGATTACCATCATCGATTATCAAAATCAAGTAACCCGTTATACATATGTTCAGAAAAAACTAGTGTTACCCCACTTAGGCCTTCGTTTATGATGGACACAAAGCTTACCAAATGACAGTATCCATCGTACTTCAAACGTTCAGAAGAAGCCATGATTTTGCGAATCTATTACTTTCATCGAACTGTTAAGCAAACGCCATGTCTATCGCAGGAATAACATGTTTATTACCAACGCTGGTTGTGTCGGGACTATTTAAGGCTCAAGCTTTAGCTCGAAGCCATTTCCAGTTCGAGGTGCAGACAGCTCGGGACTTTTGTTATTCGTGTAGAAAATTTCTTTACATACATACAAAATGGCAACAAAAATAGTTTTCCCTACCTATTTTTTTTTAGTTCAGATAAGCTGTTCTGTTGTGTCCCGTTTATTTCACACAAAAATAATTTGGAAGTTCACCGTACTTATTTCGAAATGGCTACCACTCACAAGCTAAAAACGTTCTGCACTATTAATGAACACTTTTATTCATTGCTAAAACACGATAATCCTTGGTATTCGTATCTTCACGTTCGGTACCGTACAGTCTAGCCACTTGTGTTTTGCTTAAAATATTCTTTCTTCTTAAAATTTCATACCTTGAGGATGCTTTGCGATTTTATGCCAGTGTGGTAAGCTGAAGAAGGGGTCTGATTTCGTATAGCGTATCAAAATATTCAGGCCTTTACGTACCGTACTTTATCCGCTCTAGTAGGGCCTTACTGCATTGTACGCAGGTGATGCGTTAAAGGTTTTAAATTATGTCACAGTTTTTCGTTCACCGAGATCCTGACTAGATGACGAAAAAACCGATACCAAAAAATCACCGTATTTATAAGCAAATAAATACAGCACTTTTTTACGTTGAACGCAATTCCAAAATCGATTGTTGTTAAGGTAAATTCTATACACGCTAGAAGACGCGTTTGGTTTTTATCAGCTGATACCAACTGATAAGTACGAAAAATCCAAGCCACGTGTAGCTTGTCTCTGTTGTCCCGAAGTTTGTTACTTCCCATTTGTCCATTAATGATTATTTATCTATTAGCGTTGTTGCGTCTGATATGGCAAGCCTGGTACAATAATAATTGGCTCGTAGACCTTTCCAAAGAATGAAGGGCTTCACAAACTTCCTTTAAACAGTGATGCAAACACAACGCTTTGCTTCTACATAGGATCTTCATGAATATCAAACAGATAAATTACCACTGAAAACACCCACAAAATCTAACTTGTTGCACAGATCGGAAAGCTGTTCATGACCTCATTAGAAATTGTATGTCTAGAAATCAGGATTGGTCCACTACCTGTTGTGTAGCAGCGAATGGACACTGATCGCAATAGTGCAAACTTGAAAAAGTGTTGTAAATGTTGATTAAATAACAAAAATTATAAAAGTATAGACAGCTCAATTTCAACCGAAATCATCATAAAGATGCAGAAAAGTCCCTATTCGAACAATCACTTAACTTCATAAGTTCATATGAATATGTGTTAAGGAATTACTTTTAAAAACTTTAAAGTTTTAGATATACGGGTATATGACGAGTTGAATCTGTCAAAGAGAATTAGAAATCAATAGGTCATACATTTACGAATCATAAATAGATTTCTCTAATTATTAGCCATCGCTCATGATAACGTTCTCAAAGGTACGATCAAAAAAGTATATGCCTCTTTCAAAATAATCGATTAAAATAACGTGGGATTTGTGATATTGGACAAATGTGTATAAGCCTAAATCTATATGCCATGCATTCTCGATGCCGCGATCCCCAAAAGATTTCACGTAACCACTTGTGAGTCATATAGAGCAAATATCTTCAACGAAGCAAAAAACCTATAGAAAAAGCATTCGGAGAACAGCTACCGAGACCATCGGCTAGATTGTACAACCTTTTAACCAAATTTTAAGTATATCATTACTTATCATTACAAAAGCAGTAATGTTTCTTTTGCGCAGTACCGAAATCTCTTCTATTGTTTACGGTGAACGCCTGTGCCGCAGCGCGGTCGGTATCGTTCGAATATTCGACCTATAGAGAGTGCAATGATAATCAAGTTAATCTAACGAAACGAATTGATGTTGTACTGATTTTAGGAGCTCAACCAAACTGATCATTGAGTCTGGTTGGGTATCAAAACTGGGATGTCATGGTATAAACTGTAGCACTCCAATTTCCTAACCGTCATTCTCTCGCTTCTGTTGGAGCTTTATGGCTAGCTATTAGCTGAACGCGTTCAGGGCTGCGTCGGATTAAAATAGCGGGGCTCATGTTGGCGTCCCACTTGACCGATTTCTTGAAAGAAAATCAATGTCGTTTGAGAGAACGCTGTGACTCGACACGAACAAGTTTTTTTTAGGGTAGCGTGAAGATTGGATAACCTTCTCATCGTCACTGTAGTTAGACACATTCCATTCTGCATCAAAAATTTCCATATCGCATTCTGTCAATGATAAAAAAATACCAGATCTTCTGGATGATTTACTTAAAGAATAAACGGTGCAGTTTGAATCTTCATCTACAATCCATAAATACATGTTACAAACGAACGTTTGTCACCTTAGATTTATGATGTTCAACATCGAATGCAAGATGTCGAACATATTCGTCTAATATACATCCTAATGTATATGGAATATCTTAGGATAGGGTCTGGCTGTTCAGTGCTCCAATAGTTTACTCGTGAAGTGTCACAGCAATGCTTAAGCATAACGCGGGCACGTCATTTTGCCGGAGACAAAATCAGTCCCCATGGCAAACAAGCTAACCTGATTAGCCAAAATCAATAATAAGGCTATAATAAAGCAGGCGTAAATAACGGTATCACCACAATACTAAAGAGCAATAAAAAATAATTTCTCTTATTGAGTTTAAAGTTCTAAAATATCCCACTTCGAATAACGTCTCTTCAATCGAGTATCACTGGGTTGTTCACGCTTAGCAACTCTGAGTAAGAAAAAAATCTACATGTTTTGTGTGTGCGTCAATCGGAATCGCCGTTAAGAATTATATCAAAGCATACAGAATCTGGGCTGATGGGCACAAATTAGTTTCTGGCTGGGGTCTTCATCAATTCAGCACAGCAAAAAAAGATTTTTCTAACGATCAATCAATATGTGAAGACCTAAGTAAAATGGTCTACAGTTTTTCGAAGGTGTACTAACTACAATATGATTTTTTAATGAGATTTAAATTGATTTAGGCATGACCTGCACACAGATCAGAGATATTTTAGCCTGCCATTAAAACTTTGATGGTTGTTTCATACATCCAGTGCTCCCAGCCAGATCGTACTTCATTTGTTTGCATTAAGTAGTACATCTCAAGTGTTTGCCTTTCTATTATAGTTGGCCCGGATGAATCCAGTCATGGTTTCAGTGGCCTGCTTACTTAATTTGATAAACTATGTTTAGTCCAATGAGAAAAACCACAAGCTGCTTGGCCTAATTGTTCGTTCGATCCGGCATCACTTAAAACTATAGGCGTTCCAAGATCGATTAGACTGTGCAGTATCCGCAAATTGCTCAATCCTCACCGCGGCAACACCCTGCCCTACACTCTAAGCAGCGCGAGATTAATGGAAACTATTTATGATTTAGAGATCTGCCTATCACAAAACTGACCTTGTTCTGTCGATGTTCAATGGCGAACTGGGTCTCTAATGGCAGACTTCGACCCTTTTTTTAACTACATCCCATTGCCGATGTAACCTGTCGCTGAAACTCTCAACAACGCATTCATTTCATTTGCAGAAGAATGCGCCAGTTTCACACTCACCGCAAACGCTCAATCTCATTATTACCGAACCGTCATGCATTTCGCATGAAGATATGCTGCAGTGTTAGCGTAAACTTTCCGCAGTCCTTCTATTAACTGCTTCGAAATGTCTTAGACCTAACACGGAAAGACCTAATGGCCCCGTACCAATGTAGAACTGGCCGAAGGCAACGGACATGCAGCTCCCACAACCGCTGTAGTTCGATACTTTACAAGGCAACTTTTCTGCCAAGAGGTTTGCGCAATAGTGAAATGTAAATCGTTGAAGAGTTTGTGCACACAAGCAACTCTTCTTTGATCAAGGACGGCGACGAAGCCTAACGTCAGTGAACCTGTCGTAACTGCAGTACACCAATACCGTTGCTGAGTGTTTGGGGTAGAAAAACACAAAAGGAAAGTGAGTTCTGTGCAGCTAACTGATTGCAACGACATTTGAAAGCTATATGTGCCTACAAAGAGGGGGCAAAACAGAATGTCACAAAGTTATTACGTCAAACTGTATGACAAGGCATAGTTGTTGTTGTCGGCTACGGTTGTTCTGGCGTCGCATGAGGAGACAAAGTATTGCTAAACAGGCATAAAGGCCACTAAAGAAATTGGTAAGTATTATACTCGGCTATTTAACCGCTATTTTTATTTTTCGACTATGCAGAAAGAAAAACGCACTTCTAATCTCATTGATCGCGTGTTTCGTTTAGTAGCTTCTGATAAACGCTAGTATCAATCATTGGGTATAAATAAATTTACAGTAATAAAAATAATAATAGACTCCTTCAGTTAGTATCTGCGTCATTAATATATAAGACTACCCGAAGTACAAACAGCTCGAGACCGTTTCTTCAACGAACATAATAATCATTTAAATAGATAACAATGAATTGGTATTTAAAATATAGCACAAATCGTATAGTAACTTTAGGCATTCGTTTGGATGGGTAGTGCTGCCTAAACAAAGAAAAGGACGAAAAGTGGCACGAAGTTAGCCTCACTGAGATACAGGCACAGTGTTGTTATTTTGGTACGTGTAAATGAATACAAATAATTTCCTATTACCAATAATTTATTCTTTACACAAAGAAGCCATTTTCAAAAATTCTTACTATCGATAAGCTAATCCTCACCATACGTTACACACATTTCTATACATTTCTATACATACACACACATTTCTACGGAAGTCTTGACGAAAACCTGAATTAAGAAAGCTGACTTGCGCATTCTACTTTTCATTGTCCGCCGAAACCGAAACAGAACTTTCTGGTAGACCATTCCACTTGAACAATGCTTCCAGATTGCTAAATGTTATTCTGCCGCAACTGTTGTTCAGGCTGCGGCCAGGAGCCCGATTCCAGCTCCTAAATGAGCGCACGATTTATGTTGTCGCGCAGGTGCTGACGATTCAACTAAAAGCTAAATTGATGTCAAAATAGAAACACAAATGCTCAAGTAAATGTGAATTACTTTTAGATTTATATCATTTGATTGTCAAGAGCAAGTGAACTGGACTGAACTTAAGTGACATGATATGATTTGAACTTATGGAACCCGCTTTGCCCTCCTGTAGACACTACGTGCCGTCGAGTGGGCATAGGGATAGCGCACCCATCATTGTTCAATGCCCGTAATATATGGAGACATCTTCTGACCTAGGGAACAAAATGCTTCATCCCTTTTTGTAATGTCTACTAATAGGCCATCGGCGCCCTTTTTTTCGGTCGCCGCAAGGATCGCTTAACGAGAAAAAGGTTGTTTAGTATTTCAATAATATTCATAAAGCGCCACGGTTTAGCTGAGATTATAGCGGGAGGGCTACGCATGTATATAAAATATGATATACCAATCAAAACAATTAGAGAATATCATAATCATTCTTTTTTGCTGAGTTTTTGCTGAGCACCAACCAAACAGTTGGCTTTACAATGTCTTAAGAGATGGATTTCAAGAACCGTTTTGCTCTAATATTTATTTTTGTCAAGGTTACGTCTGGGGGAGCTTGGCACTACCGTTAATCATGAAGTAATGAGAACATTCGAGCACGCAATGCTACCATTGTTCCCCTCTTTTCCTTATGAAAAAAAACTCAATATTTAATATCTTGCCGCTATCAAAAGCAGAAAATTATAATAAGTAATAATCTTTTGAACGTTTTATTTGATTCGTTTTGGCGAAAACCATGATCCTTTTTACACTCAGTGTTTACAGTCTACAGCAATTTTGAACAGGGGCAGAGTCGACATTTTCTCGCTGACAACTTGACGACGACCTCCAGTATATTGTTTTGGAATCATCACGCTGTTGTCAAATCGTGAAACTCAAATACCGTTCTGATTATCACCGAGGTGAATCATAAAACAAATGATTCCTCGAAATATCCGATTCGGTCACTGGGTGCCTTCTTTTTTGATTCTGCCATTATCATCAAACAGATCTAGTTCTCTAGAAACAAATCTAGAAATGCGCGCTTTGGCAAGGCGTTAAAGAAAGCGCAATATCCACATATTAAGTTGTTTACAAAATGTTTTTTACAACGTTAGTTTGCTAAAATATTCAACCGAAAGGTTTGATTGTCACTTAACGTCTCTTAAAGAGTTATAGGATTCATTTAGTCAGCCATCTTGTCATACCAGACGTAGTGATTTAGGGCAACCTCTGATATTTTTTGCTGTTTTGCCATAATCCATTGTGGTATGTATGGTACAAACATGAGTTTTATCGTTACAACTGCCATAATGGATAGTTAGCTACACGAGCTTAACGACTTATCTTTTTTTAGGTTGACACGTGTCTGCTTTCAGATTTATGCCAATCAATAAGGGTACAGACTAAATCTGGCACTGCGTCTCCCCAAAAGGATAGTCGACATTCCAAAACTTCTCACGTAGAAAGGAACGAATTTTCGCGATTGGTTGCGATCCACTCGATACTGTCATAATACGTCAATATTGACAGGGGCGCGCAACTCCGTGGCTAGCCATAATAGATCGTGTCAAATGACTGCAAGAAGTACATTGGTATAATTGATAATTGACACCACTTCAATGGAACGCGGCGGTGAGCTCGCGTCTTCCAAGCTAGTCCAGTCGACAAGGTCGCAACCCAACATTTCAGTACGGCAGGTTTTCGTTGAACTCGCATTTTCTGGCAATAAATAGCTACGACTGATTCAGTTAAGCGACCAAACTAGCTGCAACTTAATCTGCAGGAATATACTATTCTGGAAATCCTCAAGCTATACAGGGCGCTACCGTAGCACTTTCATTAAAGCAGTAGCATTTTCTCTGATCATACGTCATGCAAGAGAGTCTAAATGATTGAATATACAGTTACAAGAACCGAGAATCAGATTTTGTCAGAGGTCATTAATATTTACTAACTTCTCAAAAATTTATACAGCGGCTAAATATGTTAGAGAACGGTGATGGTATTTCATTTTGAGACTTGCGCTATTCGCTAGAGGTAGGAAGCTAATTGATCTAGCAAGTTTTTCGCACTCACATGATTCTGTCATAAAAGTTAGACAAGTTTATGTAGGAATCAGTTAATACGTATATCGTATGCATTAAACAGCCAGTTTATTTTTGTAGGCCTAGAGATGAAAAGCTAAAAATATATGTCATCTACCTCCGCCTAACAGTTTTAACGGAGTTTAAATAAATTAGTGACTTACTTTAAAATACTGTAAATTAACAGAAACGAGCAGCCTATAGCTTGATTTTAAAGTTGCATTGTTAAACTAATATAACCCTTTCTGTTATTCACGCAGGTTGTATGTCGCTGTGTATGTGCTAAAGATAAATCAAGCAAACAAGCCGTCTAACTTAGGGACCAACGCAGGTTTACAAAATATTGTAACGTGATTCCTATGTAAATGTACGACGAATATTTCTACAGGTTGTTAAAAGCTTGTTTTGTTTGGAGGCGGAAAAATTGCGTACCTTATGCACTTGCAGCACTTGGAAAATATGATGGCATATTTATAAAGTAATACCAAAAATCAGACATATTCCAAAAAACCCGCCATAACGTATTGACTTGGTAATAATGTCTTTATAGTGGCTAAGAACTACCATATGGTAAGAACCATAAACTCTTTCTTTTCTACGTTCTTTTATATTCGAACCCTGGCTTTCGAGACCGTTGCATACTAAAACTATCATAAGGCCTAACTAATAACCCTTGCCTTCACTGCTGGAGATTAAGTCAAAAGTATTTCGAAAATAAAATGCATCCCATAATCATGCGTTATCCTAGCAGTAAAACAAGATTTTTTACTCACGGATGGTAATATGGCTGTCGCTCGCTTTGTTGTAATAGGGTAGCAATTAACTAGGCCCGTAGGCGTACTATTCTTAGGCGTAATTATTCTGTTCTGTTTCTGCCACGTGTCTAATTTCTATAACGGTTGAACTCGTCTCTGAACTGAAACCACGCTTAAGCCGTGTACCTACGAATCGAGAAGATAAAATTCAATCCTTAGGATTAGCTTAACCTAAAAGTGTCGTGTATGTCGTGCAGTGCAAATATACCTTTGTTAAAATTTATTTTATTTTATACTGCATAGAGATAAAGCAAGCCTTTATTGTCTTTTTACGTTTTTAATATCCACCGTTTACCAACTGTGACAAAAACTACACAGGATTTCGTGAATATTAACATAAAAATATACGTGCGATTGTTTTTCGAATTTGAGGTGTACAAAAAAGTATCAATGAAGCATTGAAACCTTCAAGTGAAATACAAAGATATTAACTTCAAACAGTTCGCTACAAAAGAAATAGGACTCGAGAAGCGACTAATGTTGTCCGCCTTGATAGATGTCATTTGTCCACTGTGTTTCAAACCCCAAGGCTGTAATATAAACAGTAAACCGCATAAAAAAGACACCAATGAGCACGATAACGGCTTCAAATCAATAGTCAGAGGGAGGTAGTGAGCCATTATAGCGCATCATTGTACTCCCTGTTCTGTTATCTTTCGGTCTATGCTGAACGGGTGACGAAGTATATAAAGACTTTCCAAGTTTTTGGGTTCCACGTTAATATTTTTGCATTCCGTTTCAAAGACCTTTGTCCCTAAATATATGCGTGTACATACGCTATCTAATTGGAACGATGCGTGATATACGTTTCTCCTTAAAAATGATTGATATTAATACTAAGAATACTGAAATCGGAAAATTATTAAGAAACCAGTTGCCCCCTTTTTGCTTTTAGTTGCTTTTTTTAACTGTTGTGATTAAGTAGGTTAATAAATGGGTCGCGAGATGTAGTCATTTTTATAAAAATTCTAGACTTGTTTAATTATCCTTCGTGCTGTACGCGGGGGCAAGGAGAAGCTTGTCTGTGAGAAAACAGACCAAGGTAAACCTTCCGGCCTTTGGTCATCTGTCCGCCTTATACCTTGCAATGGCCGAATATTCGGAATGGCCGAATATTTTGGCTCAATTAGCAATCGAAAACTGGTGCTATTGACGAGCGCATGTCATCAAAAGTTACCAATGCGCTTCTGTCAAACAATGCACAACATTTTTTAGCCTCAATTTGGTTTGCCCAAGGACATTCATGTGGCCTTACAAGGACGGCCTTAGGATGGAGTCCTATCGTCGCTCGAAACGTGTTGTTACCGGCAGTGCCGTCCGTGATTACTGACCTTGTGGCAATCGGTGGTTAGCTAAATCCCTCGCCATTAACTACATTTACTGCCCTATGACGGCAAGCTGAACCGTATTCAAAGTACGGAATGTGGCCACATTCCAAACTTTAAGTATGGCAGAGTTAGCTCTTCATGTTTCGTGTTTTACCTGCATCGCTGTGAGACATTCCATCATACGGCTAGCTTCCAGTGCGAAACGAAGTGTTTCTATGCCCAGATTTTAACCTATACCACAACAAGTTTCTAAACTTAGCATGCAATTAGGTTATCCACTGAGCTATAACGAAGGCTAGGAGATATAATATATAGGAGAGATATATAGGAGAAACTCATATGACTTTTGCATTAACAACATTAGTGGACCTATGCTAGGTTCTTTAGCTGAGTTTGAAAGGTCACACAATCTGTAGTTCTAGATCTTAAAAAAGGTCTCCTGTAAATGACCCTTTTCATAAAAAGAGCAAAGAACCCACATATTTTATTCAACTTTTGAAGTAAAAATTTAGCAAGTTACTAATTACTATGCTTAACAGCCTTAAAAATTCAACTTTTGCCCAGACGATCTTCTTCTTTGCGAATCTAGAAAATAGATATAACTCAAAGGCAAAAGAAACACACGCCCCTCAGCACGAAAGTACTTAAGGATTTTTTAGACTTACCTTCCATGACGATATTTAGGATTGATTTAAAACACTAAGTTTAGTCGTAAGCAGCCATGTGCCATTGGTAACTAAAAAAAGCTTTTAAGTTGAGACTCCAGTCACTTACGCAAGAATAAGCTCAGAAGACCAAAAGAAAAAGAAAAAACACTCAATATTGAGTGTGTTAAACTATTCAGATATATCTTATGGTAACAGGTATGTCTTATTTCTGTCTCATAAAGCTAGGATTGAAATATTATAGAGCACAAGTAACGTCAGTCAAAATCTCTTTTGAATAAACCTAACAACGTTTTTTTTGTGAAGTATTCCGCAGTAAATATTGCAAATATTTAATGAAAACAAAATTGAACTAATCATATGAGTTAAGAATACGTCCAAGGTCTTTCCCGTTGTAATTTAAGCGCTGAAACTCAGTTCAGCTTAACAATGGATGTTTCACCAGCTAACGACAAAGGGCCTAACCTACTTCGTTAATCAAAAATTGTATTTGAATAATAACTTACTTTTTCCGTAAAGCTAATATTTGTACATAAAGAGAACAGTAGTTGATTGAGACAATAGAGCTTGTTGCGAATCGGTACCTCCGAACCTATGTATGTATCAATGTTTCTTTTACAAATCTAAAAAGCATGAAAAATATTATTACAAAGTATATGTATTTAACAATTTTATTTAACTTAAATATATATTTTTGTTTACCTACTGTTCAACATACACATCGTAATAATAATGATAATACAAATGATATATAACCCTCGAATCATAATCAATTCTCCGGTGAGGCTGCGTTCCAATAGTCAACGCCTTCGATGATGACATTAGGTAAGACATCTTCAAGGTGAATAGCCAAAAGCTCTGCGTTCTTCACTCTCGGCATATGTCGCATATATAGACCGCGGAGATTTCTACAACGATGTAGTACGCTAAGACCTTTTTCTGTAACATTCGGGCATCCTGACACATCGAGGAACTCAAGTGTACTATGAAAAACCGCCGAGATAAAATCGAGACACCAGTCGTCTACGTAAGGCTGATTTCTTAACGCAAGTGAGCGCAATTTTTCGCAGTGGGCAAGATTTTCGAAACCTTTATGAATAATATGAAAATCACGCATATCGATCGCCTCAATATTCCAATCCCGGACAAATGTAGAAGGTAAATCGTACGTGTAAGAGTCCGGATCGGCAGCAAACCATTTATCTCTTCCGTGAAACCTGACGGCAGCCCCTCGATGGACAAGGAACACAGCGGCCGATAGCTCGCCTCCGAGTTTCATGAACCGGTCGTAAACATATCTTGAAAAAACACCCACAACCACAGAATGAACGTACACATTCACAGCTTTTAGTTATATATACATATATAGACCAATATGTTGTTAATTCAAAATCAAAAAACGATAGGTAAAAGCTTTTGGGAAAACTGACGATGATCGTGTATGCAGAGAATAGTTTTTTTAACGTCTGCTTTCTTTTTTCCTAGCAATTTAATATCTTTTGATATATTCATTACACTATTATTGACACGTATAGGGATTTCACGAAATGCTTCAGAGCATGTTCATATTGAATCGAGTAGCCGGAAGATTGTTCATACAGCTATCAGGTGCTATAAGTCATAATAATATTTCTAGTATTATGCGGGCTATGCGTTATGTTATGTGCAAATATGAAGACACTCGCCATTCAATAGGTTCCTATGTATCACTTACTCTTGATCCTTGATTAATTCTGCTATTTTTTCCTTTTGGCGATAATTTTTATAACCCGTCCAACTGATGTCGTAATTTTTATGCAGCTTAAATACGGTATTCGGATTTATTGCATGTTGTTGCTTAAGCAATGACCAGCCGCCAGACTTCTTGATCTCATCATGGGTATAGCCTTCGTTTCGTAATTTCTGACAATGAAAGGAATAAAGCAGCAACATAGATGTCGATTGAAATCTAATTATGACTACGATAAAATTCCATTTATATATTTGAATTCGTTTATTACTACTCCTATTATTGGTTTTACAGAAATTTGCATGGAATGCGAGATCTGGGTAAAAACTACGCCATATCAAAGTATACACGTTGCACGCCTTTTAATTACATTATAATTACCGAATCGAATATACTTACAAAACTGAACGTATCTCATAGAAAAATAATGAGACGATCTTTTTCTGAACTTACCGTTGATTGCATTCACCTTACATGTAATTAGCCAAATAGTGCATGATGAGGGAAAACATCAAACCGAAGCAAATTGGCATCTGATATTAAAAAAATAATAAAAAAATCAAAGTGAAACTCGCAAAATCTAATTTGTGTTTGCTCCCCGCAGCGCTCTTCAATGAGCTGCTTCAACAAACCTCGTTGAGCCACGGTGGAATGCTTTCTTGTAGAAGCGGTACCGTCCAGCTAAAAGCTCGATAACCCGCGAGGCTTACAGGACAAGCCGTTCGAATCATCTAATAGTTGGAAAAAGAATTGCCTGTTATCAACCAGTGTTTACAATTGCAAATGAATTCATGTACAACTATCTAACACGCATTACGCTTTTCCGATCCGTAAGGGCTGTTCGAGCCCATTAACGTGCTATGAAGTTACATCTGTTCTATGAATTTTTTTTTTGTTGTGTATCGTACAGGCCAAATTCGACAGTGCCAGGGTTACGTATTTGGCACATCACTATTTGTAAAGCAGTCGGCCATACTTTCTCGAAATCAATGCCTTACAATGATAATTGCCGTCTTGCATGAATGCAGTACATTATCGCAAGTATAATTTGTGATGACTAGAAAATTAGAGGGATTAAGCTGTACTAGGTCTGGAAAATATCTTGTCACAGGATGTGGTGCAATGTCATGCGTAGTCTGATCTTCTAATATTCAATTTCGGGAAATGCTTTAAAGATGTGCGTGCTAAGCTTCTTTAAAAGTATAACACCTATGATTTATTCGACCTAATTGAAAGCTGCTAGTTATGTCATCAGAAGACCAATTGAATAGAAATAAGCTTATCAGCTTTTCAGATTATACTGAAATGGAGTGCTTGCGGTAGTTTTGCTATGCACTATTCGTCCGTAAACCGCGCGTGACATAGAATTACTGATAGACTGGCTTGCGATAAAGATAGTTTGTCGACATCGAATAACACCCGAGGATCTCCTAGAGCCGTCAGCGACCTTGGCGAATGGCCACTATAGATGAGTTAAATTCCTCGAGCGGATTTGTATAGCAATAAACGCACATATTATGTCTATCTGTATTAAAAGAAAAAGAACCAGCTAGAAAAAGAAAATCGATCCATAAAAAACGTACCATTATTATATGAGTAGGTACAAGCGGTGGGCAGGCCAATGTGCAGCACCTTACACGTCCATAGTATTCAGTACCACAAGCATCCTACTATATAATCTATAAATAATGTCTACTTTTCACAGAACTCCTCTAAAGGTTCCCATCGAACACTGCTCTACGCTCTACTCTAGTGAGGAAATTCGCGATCAGCTGCAGCACGTCAATAAAGGACACGCACGAGTTTTAGAGGCTGTCTTGGGATGGTTGCTTTCGCCTCAAATCGCGCCAAAGTATCGTGAATTGCACCGAAATTGTATAAAGCTACCTTTGCTTAAAAAAACAACATTTAATGTAATCCTCAAATATACTTAAACGAAGCCAACAGCGAATGAGTTTACAAACGCTACTGCCCACACACGGCTTTCAGCCAACGTTATTATGCAACAATCAAAACCTGGTTTCGTAAACTACTAAACATTAATTACTATTGCTATCACTATTAAATTATTTTGCCAGAGCTTCTAGTGTAATGTACTATGCTGATTTACGCAAAGGTTAGATTAGAACCGAAGCTTTTAATTTATAATTGTTGATGTTACACTTACGCCAACAAGTTTAATCGATTTGTTTACTAACATGTTGAGAAACCCCCGGGAAAGCCAAAACATTGCTCGAATACAATTTCATGTAAAAATAAAGCACAACATGATCCGCGTCAGATACGCAATGTTTTGACTTGATTTAACTCAAATTTATGCGAAAGTATGCGAAGCTCGATGAAGGTAACGCTTAAACTTACCTCATTGGGCTTTCCCAAACCACGTGCCTACTAAAGAAAAAAGACCAAAAATAAGAAGTTCTCTTATGAACTGAAACTTTGAGCACAATTCTCCGAACGCCCCATAATTTTCTTTGGAATTATTACAGACATGCAACTTTGTACATATAGAAACACTTTAGTATTGGTACAGCGACCGATGTTCAAACGATATTTATCGCTTGTTGTTTCTCTGTTTATGATATAACTTTGTCTTCTTGGGCCTCATAAGCTTCACAGTTCTAGTTGTTTGTAATCCGTGTAACAATCTGTGATTAGTTGTTCAGCGTACAATTTAAAAAAAGTCGTGCGAATAAATTTGACAATATACAAACTACCAATACGCTTACCACGAGTTGCTAATTATTGCTGAAGCACTACCGGAAATTAGCATGTACGTTATGAAACACTATTTAGCATGGAAGCGCGAATAGAAACAAATTAAAAATAATTCAGGTCTCGCTTGCTTTACTAGAAATAATTATAGTGCGGCCCGCCCGTTCTTATATTATTTTTTGGGATTTTGGGCTAATTCTACATATTTAACTGATAGCAGTGAGTTTTATTCGGGTCTAATAGGATATGCTGTGACAACCGTTTAAAAATTCGTTTATGTATAAGGCTGTTTAACGTAAAGCACACATGTGAAAGCAAAACAAGATATGTAAGTGTTGTAATTTGGTCTGACAATTTAGACAGAACTAAAAATGAATGACAAGTTAGGTGAAAATAACTTGTTCGCATAGATCCAGCGAATAACCGCGTGTAAACTAGTTCGCAAATTAAACAGAGTTTATAATTAACCATTACTCACGTTCCTTTTATTTATTTTTCTTTATACATTATTGGTCGCCGTTTGTTTATATAGAGTTTGTTTCAGCTCAAATATAGCATCTGTCTATGAAATCGTCTTCTGTTTTGTGCAGGTCTGCAGGTAACAGCAATATGAAACATTGAATAAATAAACACCAGCTAGCTCAATAACATTTGTCTATATTTCGGTATTTTTGTATACATATGTGCTTACATACTAAAATGATGACGTTGTTTTTCTATATAGTTAAATTCTAATGTTAAAACGCACACATAGTACTGATAACATTAGATTAAGTTTCTTTTCATTCTTATTATGTAAATGATTACATATTGTTCAATATCATATAGCCAATTTTCGTTTACTATATCACCGTAAATTTGGCAATGTATCCAAGCTAATATAGCCAATTTAAGCACCCGTTAAGCTTTGTTTTTGAGCAATGCCACGAACAGACTTTGCCACGTTTTTCTGGCACGTAATTCATGGAACGAATCAGTCAGTCAGTCAGTCAGTCAGTCAGTCACTCACGTTAACACATATGCATATAACTTCGCGTTGAATATTAGCAATGATAATGTAAACTCTTAGCTTAAATATTGGTCTTTAAAAACAAAAATAAATCTACCTCTGCTTAGCAGTACTGACTGTTGTCAATACTGATCTTTTTTCAGTTCTTTATTGTTACACGACCGGAGGGAAGCAACCGTTGTCATTTGGACAAGATCGGAACAACTCGATCATATCTCGAAAGCCGAAACATATTTCGGCTAATATTTTTCGTCTAATCTAAGCACTGCGATGTCAAAGAATATGGTTATCTACGATGCCCCTATGGTGGTAAAATGCCGGTATAAATTACCATCAGAGCTCAGTTCGTCGTGCAATTCTGCCCCGCAGTTCGTTGTGAATCTTCTCAATCTTATGTTGAAGTTCCGCAACCTTGTTCTTTAGTGGTCTTGCTTCGTCGGGATTCTGTTTCGATTCGAGTTCGCTTGTGAAATAATGCAGCTTGTTCATCCTAAAAAATACGTAAATTAGCTTCATTTCATGATTTTTCGTCGACGTCGTAAAAAAATTGTCTGGACCACCATATATCTGTTTACAGGGCGTCCGGTTTTCATTAGCCGTTACATTTAACTGATAATAGTGTCTTATAATGATGTGTCTGTTTGTGACAATCAGACGGGTCCATTTGAAAACTCTCAAAATGTATACCTGTGTTCGAAATGATTCAGTTCTGCACGAAGCGAGCTGAGTTCTTCTTTGGTAAAATCAGCTCTCTTGGCCATTTCCCAGAGCCTCACAGCTTTTGCATTAGTGAATTCTTGTTCACTGAGCTTGGCTCTCACTTTATCGGCCAAAGTGTCGAAGTCATCTTTCAATTCCAGGTGCTTCACACGAATCTGTGAAACGATTTTGCGAGAAAGGAACCAATAAGTCTAGTTAGTGCCTCCACTGATAGTTATTTTGTGTAACATAGCAAGCACAGTTTAAATAATCATCCCTAGAATTTTTACATTCGAACTGATGCTGATCTTACCACTTTTCTGGCAGTTGAAATCAGCTAAATTTTGTTTCGCATTTGTCGTACATTGAACTCGTACATTGTAACTGCCTTCGCCGAGTCCACTAAACTAACGCCTGGTAGATATTGAAATTAACCCTAAAAATCTAGTTAAGGCTAAACAGTTAGCTTTTATTGACTTGGATGATAGAACGTTTTGAATCATTGACACTGTCTCATTGGAAATTAAGGCATTCATCATGTGAGAAAAATGTTCGTGCTTTATTTATGTCCGGTACTTGACCTGTTAGGCACTATTTCAGAATTCTGACTCTCAGCACAAAACGAAAGTGTGTCTACGCCCAGATCTAAACCTATACGGCTACGTGTCCTAAGTTTAACGGGCAAACACTTTGCCCATTACACTGTCACATGAACTGTTTATTGTTTTCATCCAGCTCGAAGATCCGTTACATAGCGGTTGACCTAGTTAATATCTTCACAGAAAAAATTATAAGATGAAAGTTAATATATATAAAGCAAGTAAATAATCGGCGTTGTATTTACCAGACAGAGTGCTAGTTGAGGATAGATTGGACACCCTTTTATGCGCTACGGACTCATAGGGATAATAGTGAATCTGCGACCAAAGATGGCCGAGTGAACAGTAGTGCATGAGCTCCTTGCGAATTGCAAAACTAAGTTTTAGAGTCATTTAAAAGTATTTATTTACTATTTATCTTTCCAGAATCGATTTCCATCATTTTAATATATGACTATACAGGCTCGGAAAGTAGGCACTTACTTACAAATGAAACCATTATCAGTTCGATTAGATTATTATTTATGGCGCAATCAAAAACGCATTGTTATCTTTGCCGATTCATTGTAGGGCAAAATCCTTCATGCTAGAGTAGATTTCTTGCTGATTTGTGACTTTATCCTGTAGAAACACGAATATAATTGCTAAACATCTATCTGCGCTAGGCGTTTTCTGTTTCAGCGACTAGATTATACCACAGTCCTTAGGGTGGCCGATTCATCCAGAGCTAACCTCCTACCGTACATCGTTCATATTTAAAAATATTCAAACTTAAATACGTACCTTTTCTATTCGTTGGCTTTCATTTTCATTAGAAATACTTTTGTTCTTTACTCGATCTTTTCCTCTTAAATTCTTTTTCTTTTGGTCATGCTCGCCTGTTACTACTTCGTCTTCAAGAAAATGTTCTACAGAGTTTTCTACCTCTGAGGTCTTCTCTCTTCGTTCATGCAAGTTATCCACAAAAGCGTAGTACTGGTCGACCTTCGTTTGATGATGTTCAAGTTCTTCTTTGAGAATCTTCATTTCTTTTTCATCAAGACCAGCCTCCTCAATCTGTTGGGACAAAGCATAATGTGAAGCTACCAAACAAAAGTGAAAAAAGGAAAATCTACGAAAAGCTTAACCTCGCAAACGGGCCCGAAGATCTACAGGAAAGATTTCAACAAATTGATGGCGTCAACGTTTGCATAGTTATTTTGAACAGCTAGTATTAAGTGGGTAAAAAAAAGTACTAACAATTTGTCAGCTTGCTTGGCTTGAAATTTATGGATCTCCGATAAAGTCGTGTTGACGTTGGTGTTGTTTGAAAACTGAGGCTTCCCTGAGGCTTCACCGTAGTATACTTACTAAAACTAATGACGTGTCTTTGAATAAATTTGACTAGATTTAAGATAGAGCGCTTTGAAGATGTGTGCAATTTCTGCAAGAACTCACTATCTTTTACAATCTGGTTACGATAAACGTAAATGCTGTCCAGGCACATAGAAACATTTGTACTGTTCATGGTCAAGTTACATTATCGGAAGAAGTAAAAGTGCTTCCATCACTCTCGTTCTAGAAATCTCGATGAGAAAGATGCTCCTCATAGTGGTTGACTGGTCACAGAAAAAGTTTATGAAATTATTATGGGAGACCAGCGTGTCAAGAGCCGTACCATAGCTAAACACGTAAAGATCTATTATCAAACAGGTTTCGACTATTCGAAGTGTACTAGCCATAAAAAAAGCTTGGTGTTTGGAAGCCACACGAAGTGAGGCAAGGGAATTACTTGGTTACCTTTTCTTGGCGAAACTTCACAGAAACGCAATGAAATTGTATCATTTTTAAGGCAATTGATTACGGAATTTGAAAAGTAGATTACATACGACAAAAATGTTTAAAAGAATTAAGCGTTCTCTGCGATCTGTGAGAAAGCCCGCCAAAAAAAGCGATGTATTTAGTGGTATTATAAAAGAATTGTGCGTTACGAACCGTTTCTGTCTGATGCGTGACTAAAGCCTCTACTATCAACAACTAATAGGTTTAGAGCAATTCATTGACAAAAAACGACCGGAGCTAGTGAACAGAAGAGGTGTCGTCTTCCACCATGGCCATGCTAGACCAGATACATCTTGAGCGCTACTCAGTAAAAACTTAGACAAGTTAGAAGGGAGATCTAGTGACCAGTCATATATATGTATATGTAAAACAGAGCAACGATAAGATTTGGTGAAAACCAAAACTTTAAAAAAATCAGAAAAATGGTATGTTTTAAGAAATATAATCTTGTCTTTTCCAAAAAAAAAGTTTCTCTACCTGTGCTGGCAACATATGCTATTATTTTGTATCGTACAAGGTGAAACTACTCACCTAAAAGCTACAAGTTTGACATGATTCTACTACATGTTTGCTTACCTTGTTCCACAGCTTATTAAGTTTCTTATCCTTGAACATGCGGTCAATCTGAAAGCCGTCCTCCGCACGAACTTCGTGCTCGGGAAAACTTCCTAACAAACCATAGCTCTCCACTATGGCAGATAACTGGGCTCTTAGACCTGCCTCTTGCAAGCCATCCTTGTCCTTGCCCCGCGCCTTAATCTTCTTGAACTCTACCTCGCGTTTGTCGTGAGTTTTGAGGTCATGAAACAGCGCTTTCAATTTCATCTCGTTCAGTATCTGTGTTAATTGTTCAAAAATGAAACACGTTCCTGTGTTAATAGGTCTATCGTTTTGGCTGCGATCTATCTTCAGGGACAGCGTACTTTAGCAGCGAGAATGTTTGTCTTTTAAAGGCCGAGCAACATCGAGTATAAATGCAAATTAACGAAACCATTATTTTGCAGCTTTAAGTAAAATTTTTTAAGTAGGACGTTTTCTTAAAACAGAATCAAGTCGAGAAAGTATCATGGGCCTGTTTGTCTTTTTTTTTTTTGCTTTGTTTGCCTAAACATCGTGCAGCATTGTAATAAATAATAATACGCAAATATTTTGTAAATGGCAATAATCACCAGGTGTCACACAGGTGATCGCAATTAGGGAGGCAAGCCATTCACTATGAAGGTGTTAATAACAGCTTGTTGAAAATGAGATTCGCCCAAATACGTATTGTATGTGAACGTGTTTCCAATGATAGATACCATCTATCGTTTCATGCAGTTTCATCTAGTTAAAGTCTAGTGAACAACTACTAAGTAAAAATCTAGTATAACAGTCAATGAGATACTCTTACATTTCTTATCGATGAAATCCTATCGATACAAGAAACCAAATTCTAGTTTTTGGGTTTTCAATTTTGATTAAAAGGACCTTATATATACATACATACATACATATATATATATATATACAGTAAAAGCCATGTGAAGTCGGAACCCGTATGTGTTTGATAGTGATAGTGGAAGATTTATGCCAAGCACTTACGTCTACGTTAGTTAATACGCAATCATACTAATAACTCTGCCGTAGTAAATATTACCCAACTATTATAAATGAAACCTATACGGATTATACCACGTGCTTGCACCCCAATTAAATAAATATACTAACTCTTCCTACATGACCGCAGAGACAATAATCGTAATGTATCACAAAAGAGGGTGGTAATTTATAATTGTGGACAAAACAGTGAGAAAAACTAAAAGCCAAATCAGTCGTACGACATGGACAAGCTAGAGTTTCGATTTATCACGAGAATATTGTGTACACCTCGACTGGTTTGTAGATTCGATCGTTTAGCATCCTGCGATTTAAAGGCGAAAGAGCCGGCGCGCAGCCTATCCGACAATCTCATCTTTCCGTCAAGAAAAGAGCTGGAAAAGGCTGCACTAAGCCAAATTGGCCGATGATTCATCATAAGATGCTACTGTGGTTTGCTTCTGAATGACGACGCCGGGCTTTCTAGCATAATCTTCCATAATAATTCAGCTAGGCGCGTTAGAGGAACGTCGATGTTGCTTTTAAAAAGCTCAGTCTGCAGAGAACCAAGATCAGAAGTCGGTTTCGCCTGAGCATGTGCGGCTGAGAGAAGGGGACTACACTAGCTTCTATTTTATGCCTTGATCCATTCGGCAAAATTTAGCGGATATGTATCCGACCCTGCGGGTTGCTTTAGAAAGCGTGCTGTGTGTGTGTGTGTGTGTGAGAGTGAGTGATTGAGTAACGTTGGAGAGCAAAAACTACTTCACACCTTTTTCTGTCACGTCAGCACCTCTAAAAAAAGCTACGAGAGGTTTATTAACGGTGAGCTGTGGGTGTGTCTAACGGCGTCGTGCGGTGGCTTGCTGATCGAAATCAACGGCAATTTGTCCTTCCATATCAAAAACGAGAGAAATATATTGTATAGGAATAAGCAAGATTGAGAAGTATTTAAACTGATTACGTTCCGGTGCACAACGCGCAAAAAATAATTCTTTCACGTATACAAATAGAAACCTGTCTCCAACAAGGATTCTAGTATTTATTGTTTTTTTCGTCTGGTAAGAATGTATTTTTCATATTTTGAAACGAATATATTTTAAAATAGTAGTAACATCAGAATTATAATAGGTCGACTCTGAGAACCAACAGGTCAGGTTCTAAGTTTAAGTCAGCCCCTGGTTTGTCGCAATAAACGCAGAACTTCTTAGGCCAAGAGCGTCGGATAAACCCGTCAATAGAAATATATGAAAATGACCGAATTCGGTTTTAAGGCACTAACTTAAACTAAATTTAGAAAAGCATTGGAAAATGTTTTGAGACAAATAAACGAGATTGGGCACGTGTCGTTAGTACGAAAGCCACACGGACACTAGTTATATAGTAGCCTTGTATATGTTGTAACAGCAGACCCGGAGCCTTCTGTTCTACTTCAAAGTCAGGTTACATCAGATCTAATATATTTAGTGGAATTCTATGCTATGCAGGATTGCGGAAAAACTTGGCTGGATTCTCAAGAAGCAAGGCATGCGTATGACCACTGTCAAGTACGTTGTGTGATCACGTAAAAGACGTCTTTCACTGACAACGTACATAAAAATCGTAGTTTTACGTGTGAACGTGCGCCCTAATTTATATTGCTTAAGTATCCATTTTCAATTGGAAGTTTGATAAGCCTATGATCTTAAAATCTTGCTGATTGACTCTGTTATTGTTGATCGTTTTTAGAAGTTAATGTCGCTCGAGTAGACCGAGTCTCACGCAACAAACGACAGGCTACATCTGGCGGTTGGATAGACATGAGCCCGCGTAATCGAACTGGACGTAATTAGCACCGGCCAACGAATCTCATTAGTAACAAGAAGCTTATAATTGAAAATATACGCTTACACTCGATAAGTCACAGCTTACACGTATTCGTTACACAGTTACAAGCATATAGCTTCAAAGAGATGTCTGACTTGCGTAATTGCACAATTACCTATCGTGTACACTGTACTGAGTAGAAATTCAAAATATATGCATAATATAGTCGTTGCCGAGCGGTGAAAAGCTAGGGATTCCACTGTTCAGCCGAGACTGCCATAACGTTCGTCCTACAGTAGGCGTTCCCTGAACCCAACAAGACTATGATATCTCGATTTACCCAGTTACCAAAAGGCAATATATTATTTTGTAAAATAAACACTTAAATAGGCAATTTGTAAGGGAACTATAAGAAACTCTCAATTCAAGATAGTAGCATATATCTATGTAGGATGTATACATGAAGAAACAGAATGTAATCTAGTCATTAAAGGTAACAGCGAGCTCTACGGGTAGCAAGCAAGTGACACACGATACTGAACTGTGACGACCAATCTTCATTTAGAAACGACTCAAAACTCCTGAGGATGTCAAGAATGAATGCCAACATAGGTCAACTGCCAGTGCCACTTGCTCTATTATTGACTGCAGCCTTTCAACGATATAGCTCACATGCAAAGTAATATCTCTTTAAATAGTTACCTTTTGGCCTTTCTGCCAAATATTCTGAATTTTCTGCATTCGGAACAGACGTTCAGTTGATGTCGAATAGTTTTTTGGTGGCCCGTCATAACCATCCGTCGAGCTGTTCTCCGCTGGTCTCCCAGTTACGGCGGTATCATTTTCACCGTTAGCATTTCTATTGTGACTGGTAGCACGTTTCAGTTTGTTAGGATCGTGATGGGGTCGTAGCTTTTCATTAGCCTCCTTCGAGTACTTGCTGAATTCTTTTTTCTTTCCGCCACTGCCGGCTGCGGCACACTCAATCGTAGTTAAGACTAAGCAAATCACTATCAGCAGTCTCATTTTGGCCCGCCACTGATTTCGCCAAACAGTATTGTTGTCGGTGCTGTTGCAACAGTCGACACTCTTCTAGCGTCCTGTAGGATAACTTCTGTTAAAGCATTAATCTAACAGAATTGCTGACGCGTGCTGTTCACTGTTTGACGTGTCGTCGTATAGTCGAAAGGTTAAGCAGTACACCTTCTCCAGCAGGAAATGGCGCTCACTTTCATTGTGTACTTCAATGAACACCGACCACCATGCAGTCACCGATAGAACATGCGAATACGTCAGCGCCACACGTTTTAAACATGCGGCGACTTCTGAGCTTTGGTCGTCGCGCTGCTAGTGCAAGGAAAAACGCGTATCTGCTAATGACCAATGCGCCGAAAAGGGATTTGTCGATGCACGCAGACACAGGCATCAACACAGGTAAACGTTGCCCAACCGCTCTGCATGTGTCATGTTGCTCGCTACCTGATTCGTCGTCGGCCTCGCTGTCTCTCTCTCCGATCGACGTGGGCGCCACCGTTTAAATTTTTCGCACGCGAAAGAAGCTGAGCAGCACTCGAGAGAATGGCAACAGAACTTCGCGAGTTCATTTCGAATTCGTCGGGAGAAATAACTTGGTTCCGGTGATTAGTTAAAAGCGCGACTACAGAGAAAATGCGAGTAATGCATCTATGAAATTTATGAACATTTAAAGAGTTTTTGTTTTTAATGTTCATCCTCGCCAGTCATTATCATTATTAATGTCAAAAACAGCTGAACTGTTCCTCAACTCAGTACAAAACGAATACATTTTGAAATTCATGGCTGTATTAGAAATTGAAAGTATCCAGTTTGTGATGAACTCTGATGGCAATGATTTAACAACCTAAAAGGCCAAGAACTTGAACATTCACTCATAAATTATGTTGTCGTGGTGTACATTACAATGTGATAAGGTGCTGTTTTCGCAATTGAATATTCCAAATGTACTCTGAAATAGAGGCACCAGATCCTGCTCAACTCACTTAGGCGATAAGCTCAACCGTAACCACAAGGCCTCATTTGCATGGTAACGACGCGATGATTAACAAAGATATGATAAAGAATACATAGATCATCTCACTTTAAAACTCTACTCTTGTTGACAAATGTTGACAAAGCTTGGACTTGAGGTTTCTAAATTTTCGAAACCGAAAACAGAGCTTTATAACGGATAAGATTATTTTATAGCGATGAGCCCTACAAATGCATCATTTTGACTAAACCAGTGCACGTGTACCACTTGATTTTCAACAACTATGTGGGTATAATTTATCACTAGTATTTTATATAATACATAGGGTTTATTCTTAGTACTCCAATGCGCATTATTGCTAGTGGTAACAGTAGAAGTAGCGTGCCATCTATATTTATGATTTCGGTGATTTCTGATGTATGTATTGCTTGTTCTTGCAGCTGGCGAAGCAAGCAATTTTGCGTGTAATTACTTCTTCCAGTAGTGGTACCACACCTTCTGCTCAGCTGTCGATGAACGTCCGATCGAGAGGGCCAGATATCGCACCCTCAGTATAACATTGCTATGTATTTACTTGTCGAAATTTGAAAATTTATGTTGAAATTTGCTCATGTGTTAGTACTCTTGCAGCAGTCACTTACATAAACTGGTTTTTGTCAGGGCAGCGTGATCTGTATGGTGTCAGCAGCGGTACCTATTGCCACGCAAAATGACACTAGCAATTAAGTTTTGGATGCCAAGGGAAAGATCTCGTAAACAAGATACAAATGCTTGGTTGATTCAAAAATGCTCTGGAACACACCGGATAATTCGACATTTGCGTTTACCTATAAAGGATCGCTTGTGTGAGAAAAAACTAATGCTATGCAAAAGGAGGTAAGAATCAGGTAATGGAAACATGAAGAAAAGGCACTAACGGTTCATTTCTTATAAGAAAAATGTCATGAGGGGTCTTCCATTCCAGCGGAAATGGAACACTTCATCCAAATCACATTTGACGGTGATCATATTTTGGGTGGTTTCCATGGTTTGTCTAGTCTGAAAAGAGGACCAAAACAATCTTCCACGCATAAAAAGAAAAACGTACTCGAAGAATCAAACTATGCGTTCCCCGCTTCGGTTGCATTACCCTAGTTACTGTTGTTAGTTATTACTATTGACAGTTAGCATCGGGAACTGGGGTTCCGCCAGGAAACAGGAGACATGTGCAATGCCTAAAGTAAGAAATGCGATTATAATCCACACTGAGAAAAGCTAACTCTGACGGGACCTAGAAACGTGACAGTTGGGAAATATGAAATATTGTCTAGTCCCCTTTTCTTAGTTAGAACGCTTCTGAGCTTCTCTGTCGCCTTTTTTTGATCGCCGAATTTAATTTAAGGCAAAAATAGAAATATACCAATGTCCTGCGCCTAAAAGAATGCATTTCTTGTCAGATATTTACTAATAGCTAGGCGTTGATACTATTGGATTATAGTTCAGCGCTAGCCGTTGCTACAAAGCCGCATACTATGCTTTCCCTTGGTCGCAAAGTGCTATCTGCTCAAGCTATCGGCAAATGTCCTGTATATATCGCTAGCACTATACATACCGTTTTGCATAGGAGTTACTCGGAGACTTATAAAGGTCGTTTGATGAGACTAACCAATATAATTTGAACGTATCAACCTTTCGCTACAAAAACTTGTTTACGTAACATTTTCTGAAGACACATGTAAAATAGGTACATACTTAAAATGCTTGTGAAGGTACATCCTAAAAATCATTAAAAAGAAAAAAATTAATTGAGCCATTACTGTATGGTTATTTTTGAAATAAGCCTTTGGCTTAGCCGGCAAAAATTTAAATGTTCTAACTCAAGCATCTCTCACAAACACCATTAGTCTTTTAAGAGATGTCGGTCTTCTACGTGACAGATTACAGTGTATTATTTTCGTTTCAACATCTTGTTCAAATCAAGAGAACTCTAAGCCTTTACTAACAACTTTACCTTACTCTATCCTAGGAACCCGAACAACATCACAATTTAGGTGCACAACAATGCATTTATGCAGCTCGTGAAGAGCTAATCCAATTATTTCATCGATACAAGTTACGGGGGTTATACAACTTGCTGCAATATCTACGACTCATCCAATATATGCACATATATGTATACGGGGTTAAGCACAGTTCTTCTTTAGCATTCGAAAACCGTGCAAGAAGGAAATTCTGCGATTGAAAACTGCTGATACTATCACTATTGCAGGACTGAATGGAACTGGAGGTATCGCAAAATGTAGTTTGCATCGTTTCAAATTGTCTACATATAAGTTAAATCATATATTCAGGGGGTTTACTTTTTGGATATAGTTACAATCGGATTCTAAATGCGTATGTTGTAAAGAACAACGCTCTCCGCGCGCTTAACTGAACAAGAATAATCTCCAAATGGTCCAGGTGAACCGTACACCGGTACGCGATTACATCCAAGGAAACATATGTTTGAATAAACAAAGGAAAAGAAAAACGTCCTTTGCTCTGAAAACACATAGAACCAATTCAAATTCGTGATGTGGAGCCCATATAAAGCGCATAATGATTTTATCTATTGAAAGAGTACGTGATTGGCCTCTACATCGTTGGGCGAAATGAGAAGTACACTCCAAGCGGACATTCTAACGCTAGCACTAATTTAAATCACCATTGTGAAAATCAGTACATTTTGCCCTGTTTTTGTTTGGCCGGCCAGGCGAAATTAGTCTATAGATTTGCAGACAGGGTAGCTCTTAACAGACATGAGCGGGATACAATTCTTTCATGCCATATATCGCTTTATAAATTTGTTTACGTATACCATCATTAATATTTTGTGTTTCTTTTTTTCTTTTTTTTTTTTTTTATTAGATTTCTCTGTATTTCATACGATTTCAAAAATAATACTGTACAACAAATGGAAATGAGAGGGCGACTTTAGTTTCTAGACGAGCCATTGCGCTGAGAGGAACAAATTTAAATTAAATCTGTTCTCCCTCGTTGATGCTCTAACTAATTTGTTTTTGATTAGAATACGTTCTCCGTAGAACGTTGACATCGTGACAATCTTTCCAGGAACTGTATTTACACGACATTAATCCTAAGTGCAAGATACCGCTACTCTACACAACCTATATCCTGTAACGCTGTCGGCTAATAGTACTAGGCTAATGTATTCATATAACGTATGCACGTTTTTAATTTTTAGTACCCATTTAGGTAGCCGTTACCCTAATAGAGAACATCGATAATTCGCGTACAGATGAAGCATGCATTGGATTTCCTTATATATATATATATATATATATATATACATAAGGAAAATAGAGGAATGTAGTAGAGTATAGAAGCAGTGTGATTATATGAAAAAAATCAATATTTTATAAACAAACCTGCACGTATGCACTTGTACGATATTCGCCACAAAGCAGTTAAAAATTTAATGCAAAATTTGATTTGTAATAAACATTTGTATCTATGAAAAAAATCTTCTTTATTCTTGGCCAAACATTGCAAGAATGAATATTGACTCCACCAAATAGTTCAGCAGATATACTTTCACCAAGGCTTTCCCTTACATTTTCTAGCCATTATGCATTTTCTTTTTTCGAGTTTTTTCGACTACTTTTATTATCGAAAGATTAAGTCATCGAAAGTACCTTATCGGTGCAGGCATCAAGCATTTGTCCTAACTAGAACGTTTAACAATTGACCTTAGATGGACTTTTTCCACCAGACCTATGGATCGGCATTGTGATTTCATCTCTATATGAACATTTAGTTAACAAACAATCTTCTGACATTCATCTTCGAAATATCTTTTGAGATTTAATTTACCCATAGCTATAATCTTTTCCTTAGTTTGTTTCCTTAATATACCTATATATATATA